AACCCCTTGTGTTTTGTACTATATCCCATGAAAGCACACATAGCTGATTGAGCTGTTAGCTTAGTGCGTTCATGGGGAGGGAGATGGACAAAGCAAACGCATCCGAAGACACGAAGTATGGATAGGTTTGGTGGACGATGAAATAAGGACTGATGGGGAGAAGAATTTTCAAGAATAGGTGTAGGAAGACTATTGATGAGATGAACAGAAGTGCGGGTCGCCTCCACCTAGAAGGTAAGGGGAGCATGAGAGTCTTGTATCAAGGATCCCACCATACTAGCAATGTGACGGTTCTTGCGCTCCGATACTCCATTCTGTTGAGGAGTACTAGGACAAGATCTCTGGGATTGAATCCCATGTTGTTTAAGATAGGTTTGAAACTCACCATCCTCACCATCATAGTACTCTCCCCCTGAATCTGACCTCAAAATATTTATGGTGCTTTTAAACTGGGTCATTACCATGGCATGAAAGTTCTTAAACATGGAGAAGATTTCTGATTTCTTTCGAAGAAAGTAAACCCATATGTAACGAGTACAATCATCAATGAATAACACAAAATACTTATAACCCAAGCGTGAAATAACTGGAGACGACTACACATCACTATGAATGAGATAAAAAAGTGTAGATGCATGTTCAGTTGAAGATGGAAAAGGTAAAACATGACTTTTACTATAGCAGCAAGTTAAACAAGATTTATCAACATTTTTGATTGAAGAAGTATTCAAAGGCAAGCAACCAGAGGAAAATAAATAATCCAAATTTTTAGCATGAATGTGACCCAAACGTCTATGCCATAAATGCCACACATTATTACAAGAAGAACTAGGTATAACGTATAGCAAACAAGAACCCGATGAAGATTTCTTAGTCTCAAATTCTAGAGCAAGTAGCCTCCCAAGCCTACGCCCCTTCCCCTTCAGCTCTCTAGTGTGCTGGTCCTGAATAAAACAACCATCACGAGTAAATAAGACATTATTACCATTATCAACAAGTTGCCCAACAAATATTAAACTAGTAGTTAATTTAGGCACAAAGAAAGTTTTGGGAAGATGAAAGGGTTTGGTCTTAGTAGTGGATAAAAAATAAATCATTACAACCATATACAGGTAGGGAATCACCATTAGTAGTAATAATATGGTTGTCAAAGGTTCTAGGTTTAGGAGACTAACTGAAGGAGGCCCTAGTCATGTGATTTGAGGCCCTGGAATCAATAATCCACATGTGACAAGGAGATGAACACAAAAAAGCAGACTTACCAGCCAACCCAAAAGCGAAAAAAGCAGAAGAAATAGCTGAAGACATGAGCTCACAAATCTTTTCTTTAGTCAGATTTCCCTGATGTGAGCTGATGATGAGGTGGTAGTATCAGTAGAAACAGATTCGGTTGAGGCCTGATAAGCCTTATGTTGTCCTTTCCGTTTGCAGTAGGTACAAAAGTTTTTCTTCTTGCAGTGGAATGCCACGTGATCGAATTCTTTGCATTCATAACACTGCAACTTCGAGAAGTCTTTCTTACTCTTCTGTTTGGTGGCTAAAAACATAGTATCAATACCATGTTCCATCTTCTGATCTAGTGCAGATAAGGTAAGAAGACAAGTTTACTCCCGTAACAACTCTCCAAGGATTGCATCAAGTTCAGGCACTGGTTTTCTATTGAGAATGCTGGAGCGTAGAGTTTCATAATTAGGCCTGAGGTGCATCAAAAAGTGCATAGTCTTTCTCTCAGTGAGATGCTTCTTCATAGTCTTCACACAACAATCTGTAGACAGATCCCCAAAGTGAGGCAGTTCATATTCAGTCCAGAGATTTACAAATCCTGCATAGTATTCCTGAATCCGCTTCTCCCCTTGAACATAGGAGAAGATATCAATTTCAATCTGATATTGCCTAGACATATTTGATTGCTGATATACCTTTTCTAGGTATTCAAACATGTCATGGGCAGATTTGAGACCTCTCATCGGAATACTGACATCCATTGAGATAGACCCAAGTATCCATGAGGTAACCTGAGCATTCTCGGTTCTAGGAATGGCAACGGGTAGGGTACCCGTGCAAATTGCCCTACCCATTCCCAAACCTGCCTATGTATCCCTAATTCCAAAACCCATCTAACTTTTCCTCTCAATTTCCCAAACCCGTCCCATCCCAAACCTGTTAAACCCCTTCCGACCCGTCCCACCCATTAAACCCCTTGACCAAACATTTTCTACTAAAAAAAAGTTTCTTAATGCTTATAGTGTGACTTGAACCTGGATCAATTAATGATAGCGCCAAATCTCTTAACACTACTTTAAGCCATTAAGCCATCTTGCCTTTTGTGTTATTTAATGAAATAAAATAGATTTTATTAACTTTTGTGTTCATCAAAACAATCAATACATGTATATGATTAACAATTCCAACTAAAAATTAAAAAAATAATATTTAAAATTAGCATTTTGTAACTAAATGAAATGAACAATCTATCAAATCCAAATTTACATCAAATGATGATTTTAATCCCAAGAAATTTATACAATTAAAATATTAATAATAGAATAATTATCTTAGTACTTAAAATTTATAAATTTGTGCATGATATATAATATAATAGATTAATAAGTTCATACTCATGCATCCCAAGTATTGGGTGTCGAATACCCTAAAGTCAAAACCCAAACCCGTCCCAAACCCTATAGGGTTTGAATCTAAAATCCCAAACCCTATAGGGTTTTGATAAACGGGTCCTGTTAGGGTCAGGACGGATTGGATACCTGAAAATTCCCACGAAATTGCAATCCCTACTCGGTTATCCACTGTTTCAGCCCTTTGACATCACTGGTGTCAGGCATGGAAGTGGAACCGTCAATGTAACCCCACATGCCTTTCCCTTCAACAAAATACTGAAAATGGAATTTCCAGAGAGCATAGTTGGTCCCATCGAACTTAACAGAAATAAATTCATTCTTTTCCAGAGTCATAATGAAAAGGAAACAAGTAAATACTGATCGAATCAAGCAACAAAGTAGTAATCAAGCTGTGAGAATCAAAGAAACTGATAATAGAAACCTCTTACAGTCACCAGAAATTGTCCAAGTTCCAGCAAATGGAGAAAACTTGAAACACAGTCCAGAAAAGGAAAGTCTGGATGCAGCCGCCCAGAAGAGATGTATAGATCTCTCTCAAAACTTCTCAGATCTCGATGAAAATTTCAGAATATGATTAGAGGGCCTAGGCGACACTTCCTTTCAATTCTGACTACAAACTGATGTTGTACGAGAGAGATCTAATTAAATCTCTCTCCCTGGATGCGCAAAACACAGAGAACAGATCTCTAGAGAGATCGAAAGAATCCAGAGTCAATCGGTAATGATTAAAGTTGTCAAACTGATCAAAAAGAAGGAGAAAAGGATCAGAGAGCAGCCTGCTCTGATACCATGTCGGTTTGTGAGAAAGTGAAAGAGCAAGGAAAGTGACAGAGGTTCAAATCTGTTAGGGTTGATCAATCTGATCGAACCAACCCAGAAAAGAGTATACCATGTTGGTTCGTGAGAAAGTGAAAGAGCAAGGAAAGTGACAGAGGTTCAGATCTGTTAGGGTTGATCAATCTGATCGAACCTTTTTCAGTACAAGAAAGAAAAATAAAGTACAGTAGAATTACAAAACTATCCCTCAGTAGTTATTCTACAAGAACAACATATGTATTTTCTGTGGTTTAATGATCATTTTTATAATCTTCATTCAAGTGATTCAGATTCAAGTCTTGTAAATCATGTTTTTTTTTTTGTAAAAATACACACACATAAATAACACAAAAGGTGTTGTGGATTAATGGTAATGATAATCTGCAATTCTTTGTAAGTAGGAGGTTGTGAGTTCAATTCTCCTCATTATTATTTTACAATATATGATGCAGTGACCTGGGTGGGCCATTGTAAACCAGATGGGTCACCAAAACCTAGCTAACAACAGTTTGCCTGTATCAATAGTAGGTCAGACAGTTTTTGAGAAAAACTAAAAACCAGGGTTAAAAAACTGGATTTCCCTCTAGTTCCCAGCTCTGACACTATCTGTTCAGGCGGTCCAATTCTTGCTCGCATTAATAGCAGGTCATATAGTTTTTGACAAAACTAAAAACCAGGGTTAAAAAGCTGGATTTCCCTCTGGTTCCTAGGTCTGACAGCCACTCCAAATCTTACAATGTTGCACCTTTAAGTTTTCAAACAATACCATAACCAGATTGATTTAGTGTGTGCTCTCTGAAAATCTGTTGCTTGTGTGATTATCAAAAAAAAAAAAAAATCTGTTGCTCATGTTGTACCTTTGTTTTATGCATCCAAAAAGTCTGTGCCTGGACTTAATAATGGGCCAACTACTTTCATGATATTGTAGTGTTGTAAGGGCTTCTCTTGTACCCACGAATTTCCAAAGGAAAGCTTAACCACTTGCACAACCACCTTTACCACCACCAACTCCCTCTCATCTTAGATTATCTTACTTCCATTTTTCTTTAACCGAGGAATTCTTGCTAATGCTCCTTTTTCTTCATCTGAACCTTTAGATAAATATATTTCTTAAATTTAGGTATAACCATTCACTTTTGTAAAGTTCTGTGGTCACATTAATTGAGTTCCTTAAGGACTTTGATTAAGCTGTAACCAATACACCATTAGGAATCATTTTTGGATGTAAAAAGGAACATGTGTGAATACAGAGCATCAAAAACCATAAATTGCTCTAGGTGACATCTGAAACTGCTGATGGTTTACTTTTTAGTACAACTTCTTAATAATTGTGCTTATTGTAGTCTTGAATTGTATCAGTCAGTGACCCATTACCCATATTGTTCTTATCCTTTTTTACTTATTTAACTTCTAAGTTATTCAAATTTAAGATTAGATCTAGCTTCTATGTTATATGAATATGAGTTCAAAATCCAGTTTCATCCTTTGAAGAAATTTCCAAAATTTTATTAATTCTAGTGTCTCTAATAGAAAATGTCAAACTTCCAGGAGCTATGAATTGATGGAAAGCATACTCAAAGTTTACACCTACAAGGATGGAGCAAGACCAATTTTCCACCAGCCATATCTCAGAGGCATTTATGCTTCAGAAGGATGGTTTATGAAGTTAATGGAGGAAAACAGGCAGTTTGTGACAAGGGACCCGTCAAAGGCCCACTTATTCTATTTGCCATATAGTGCTCGCCAGCTGGAGATTGCACTTTATGTTCCAAATTCACATAACATGCGGACTTTGTCCATTTTTCTCAGGGACTATGTGAACATGATTGCTGCAAAGTATCCTTTCTGGAACCGCACACGAGGATCAGATCATTTTTTAGTTGCTTGCCATGATTGGGTATGGAAGCACTGCTTGTTCTATTTATGATATAAAAAATGCCTATTTTATTTTTCTAAGCTGTACATCTGCATGGTCAAAATTGTTGTCCTTTGGTCTATATTTCAATTGCCTTTATGTTCAAATGCCCTCAGTGAGAAAATTTGCAAACTTCTAATCACATTAAGGCTGCATTTGGTTTCAGTGCAAATGAAAATGCATGGGAATGCAAATAGACTGAGTGTGAATCCTGGTTTGTTTTTGTTTCAGATTCGGCCTTGTCTTGTTTGTTTGTGAAAAGTAAAATAGGAAGTAAAATAGTGTGGTCCCACTTTATATGCAAGAGAATGGAGGTAGGAGGATTATTTGTTTGGGAGTTAGGTAAGAAGCAAGATGATGTGGTCTCCACATGTATGAGAGAGAATTGAGGTAGGGCGTAGGAGGAAGGTGGTATTTTGCATAAGATTTTGAGATGCAAAATTTACACTGCAAATGAGTGCAAATGAGAAAAAGCATAAATTTTATATCAGGTAAGAGTGCAAATTATGGGTTGTATTTGGTAATAGTGTAAATACAAATATGAACGGTTCATGAAAAAGCAAAGTTGATTTGGTTTTGTATTTGATAAATTTTGTTTTCATACCAAGCATATTTGGTTGTGATGGGTACAGACATGAATTCCAACACAGGAATCTACTTTTCACATTGACCAACTTTGAGCGCAAAGTTTGCATCCTTTTTTTTGGAAAAAACTTTGCTCCCATTTTGAAAGCAAAAATGTCAGAAAAAAATTGCTGTCATTTTCAATACGAAAATGTTTTCTTACCAAATGCCTGCCAAACTGAACCAGAGTGCAAATTTGCTTCAGTTCAGTGTGTGCACCCTTACCAAATGCAGGGATAGTTACAAATAAACAGATGCAGAGCCGAACTGGGTGAAAAATTTGTATCTGGTTCAGATTTGCAATGCAACCAAACACAGTCTCGTGATTGGCAATAACTTTCCAATCTAAAGGGAAAAGGCATAAGAAGATATTTTTGAACTCCAAGTTTTCAACATATTTGAAAAAGTATGATATTCTTTGATACAAAGTTTGTATACTCTTCCACAGGCATGATTGTGCATGTGGTGCAGCTAGATGCACTTAGGAGACCTACTGGGCTAGAAACTGATTTGCTTGGATGGTCCTACTCATTGTAGATCTTACACCATTTCTTACCTTACCATACAAAATATATAATGGATCAGACGGTTAGGATCATTTAATCAGGTTAAAATTTCAACCTGAAGCTGAAGATCACCCAAATTAGGCACATTGAATGATCTTAATCACCCTGCCTACTCTTATGGTTGCTTTATGTACGGATCTCTATGCCATTTTTCTCTCTTTATTTTTCAATATAGTTCATTTTGAAATTGGTGCTATTGCAGTTGGATTATTTGCTACCCTCTAGTTCCTTTTGTTCAATTATTCATATTCAATGGAGTTACAACAGATTTTGTGTTTTTTTTTTCGGAAATTTAGAAGAATCTGTTTCTTTTCTTGCCTGATAATGCTTCATATATAGCAATCATGTCCAAGTATTCACTGATATTCTCTCCATCTATCCAACTTACTTATTCATTTACTTTATTTTAATGTTCTGCAGGGTCCATATACTGTGAATGAGCATGAAGAACTAAGTAAAAACACCATAAAAGCTCTCTGCAACGCTGATCTTTCTGAAGGAGTCTTTGTTGCCGGAAAGGATGTCTCCTTGCCAGAAACCACTATAAGAAATCCCAGGAGACCTCTGAGAGGCCTTGGTGGGAAAAGAGTTTCTCAACGCTCGATCCTTGCCTTCTTTGCTGGAAATATGCATGGTAGGGTCCGGCCCATACTGCTCAAATACTGGGGTGACAAGGATGAAGACATGAAGATTTATGGTCCTCTACCAAATAGAGTTTCCAGGAAGATGTCTTATGTTCAACACATGAAATCAAGCAGATTCTGTATTTGTCCTATGGGGTATGAGGTAAACAGTCCCAGGATTGTGGAGGCAATCTATTATGAGTGTGTTCCGGTGATCATTGCAGATAATTTTGTCCCTCCATTTAATGAAGTGCTGGATTGGAATGCATTCTCAGTGATTGTTGCAGAGAAGGATATACCAAGTTTGAAGGATATCCTCTTGGCTATCCCTATGAGACGATATCTTTCTATGCAAAAGAACGTCAAAATGCTGCAGAAGCATTTTCTTTGGAACCCGAGACCAATCCGATATGACCTTTTCCACATGATTTTGCATTCACTTTGGTTCAATAGGCTGAACCAGATTCAGATTCCATGATGATTGTAAAATGTTGAGAATTTCTTTGGGTGAATTTTGGATGCATCACAGATTGGCTTTCCCCAACGATGAGAACTGTTGGATTATCCCTCAGAAGAGAGATGCTGTTGGAAGAAGAAACGGCTGGAGTTAAAAGGACAAAAAAAAAATCAGAAAGTTTATCTCATTATTATTTGAAGAAAACGACGATTAAAGTTTACCTCATTGTTATTTGAAGAAAATAACAATTTTTGGAGTTGGTCTGGAATGTACAGTTCAGGAAATGGGAGGTTGGAACAGGGATGGGTAACTGAAAGGACGAAACAGTGGAGGACCAGAATGAGGGTTTTTTATTGTAGATATGGATCAATTCATGGCCTTTAATGCTGCTCTAGCACAGTTATGTTGGATCTTGATCATTGTACCTCTGATAGCATGGGACCTCTGGGCTTTCAATTACATGATTTACCACCGGCGAATGAGCTCCTCCTGGGATGTCTTAACGAAAAGATCACATGCATTTATTCATGCATCATAAATCAATAATGTTACTACTTACTAGTCGTACAAATAATTTCCATCATTGGATCAGTTTTGTTGTTGTTCGTTTCTACTTTTGTGTTTATGATTATCTTTGAAGTAGGGCCATTCATTTATTTGATTGTCTAGAGGTGGATGTAACATTTGTGTAATATGTACTTTCCTTCATTTTTTTGATTGTCTGGAGGTGGATGTAAGATTTGACTGGAATTCTGTTACTGCAGTAACTGCTAGACAGTCTGCAGTTAGTGTAGGGAGTAGGGACAGCTTTGAGGACAGTCTGGTAATGGTACCAGGTAGCTCATGAAAGTAAAATCCCTTTTAACTGTAACATAGAATGAAACAGATAAAATGCATATCTTATTTATTTCATTATTTTACCATATTTTCTTTGAGGGAAAATTGGGTCTGACATCCTCTGAAATGGATTGTAGGTAGCACTAAAGGAGTTCACATCTCCGCCCCACAATGGGCCTCCCCACAACGTCCCACAGCACATTCCTGCCATGTATTGGGAATATCTCCCAATAATAGTATCAGAACTGATGATGTCATCATGGGGAGATGTTCTCCGGAATGTGCTGTGGGATGCTTTTGATTTGAAGGGAAAAGTAGGAATGTGATTCATTTTCCTATTGAATATCATTTTCCAAGCAAATCATTCATTTTTTCCAAGCAAATCTGTTCCGACTGAAAGTCTTAACAAAGGAAACCAAAAGGGAAAAGTAGAGATACGGGCCAACTTTATGCCTGATTCTACTTTAGGTTTAGGACCATCAACTCCGGATATGTAAAAAGGTGTTATCTTTTTAAATTATAAACATCAAATTCGTTGGGACAGAAGTATACGCACTCCTGAAGTTCTAAACAATATCTCAAAACTACAAAGTAAAAAAAAAGATGGAGCTTCACTAAGAATAAGAAGAATCCGGATTAGCTGCACACAAAGGATAAAAAATAATGTTTGTTTTAAACGTTAATGAACATATTAAATCCAGTCCCCTTTTTAAGTCTTGAAAAAAAAAACTAAATAAAAAAAATATTTGCGAGTTCACATCTGCTCCCCACAACGGGGTGCCTCACAGCACATTCCCGTCATGTATTGAGAACATCTCTCGATGATGACATCATCATTTCTGATACTATCATTGGGAGATGTTTCCAGTGCATGGTGGGGATGTACTATGGGACGTTGTGGGGCGCAGATCTGAACTCTAAAGCTAAAGGTTCAGAGTTCTCACACATATCTCTGGGTGTATCAATATTTTGAACCTCGACTGCATTAAGGGTTGTTTAAGTTTTAACTAATAAAAATGTCCCACGTCAGCATAGTATGTATGCCCCAGCCCCACAACCATTTAGGTGCTCCCTGTAAAGCCCTTGAGAAGCCATCTTCTTAGGCAGCAGCTTAAACATAAGACTGTATTTGGTTCGAAAGAAAAACCTTTTGGCCAACCAGTTTGATGATCAGATTGGCCAACCTGGGTTATTTAAGAAATTTGTAGAATTAAGCTGGAAGGCATTTGAAAAAAACCTTTTCCTTCCTTTCTTTATTTTTTATTTTTTTTATTTTTTTCTTTTCAAACCAAACACAGCCTAAATTGGAATTCAAGGAAAACACTGAATTTGAGCTACTTACAAAGACTGGTTCAGGTATTAGGCTATATGTTTGGTTTGAAGGAAAATGAAGAAAAAGACAAGAAAATCTATATGATGTTTGTAAAGGTTTTCCTACCTTTCCTTTCTTTTCCATGCATTTTCCTTCAAACCAAACATAACCTTAAGGAAAATATTTAATGAGAGCTGAAGGGTTAATTTTGTATACGAGAATTTGAGAATTTAAGAAGATAAAGTGTAATGGCATTAATACCCCTCTCAATAGCGATTGAAATGGTCAGTTGACAGAGGCACAAGATCAAACTTACAGAACTATAGGCCATCCGTAATTGGACCTCACGTGGAGTGTACCTTGCCCTGTATAATGCTCATCATCACCATCCAAGCCTTATGCCAAACAGCACTTAAGGTAATGTTTGGTTAGAAGGAAAATGCATGAAAAAGAAGGGAAAGATAAGAAAAGCTTATATAGATTTCGCTGTGTTTCCCTTTCTTTCCCTATTTTTTCTTTCAAACCAAACATAACCTTAAGAATAATTTTTTCCTACTTCCACCTATATATCCTTTTTAGTCCACCCTTTAACCCCTCTAACCTCTTCAGTCTTCAACTAGCAACACCTCACTTACAAACTCTGTCGGTGGTATTTTATGCACGTCCCCTGATTAAAAAACTCTGATGGAGGACGGAGGACCCCCACCCATGGGCAATGCCAAAATATAAAGAGTTCTTGCCTTCCTTTATAATATGATTTCTGATCGAATCAATTCCAAAAGAATACAAAGGTTGTCATCTCGTCTATGCAGGATCCAACTGGCCCCACCAAAGCCCTAAGCTTGGTGGATGGCGATGCGTCCAATTACCATGTCTCTGTCTCACATTATCTCTTGAATCTTTTTATTATTTTGAATGATGATGATGATGTATGATCACGTGTGAGAATGAGACCTACCTTTCAAAGGACAGCTCCATTCCACAACTCCATTATTTCTTCTTCAGTGGGCCGACAACGTACACACAATCAAAAAGGGGTCTGGAATCGTGTGGCTACACGATCCATTCTTGTCGCCACACTAACCCTCTTTTCATGGGTTAGGGGATTCTTTAGCCCATCAACTAACCATTTGCCACGTGTCACAATTACACAACCTCCTTTCCACATCATGGAATAGACCTGGAGCTACACCCAACCCACAGCCATAGATTTCAACCACCCAGTTGGTTCTTTAACCATTGGATTGGAATCCCCCTCTGTCTTCTCATTTGTCATATCATATGCTAATATATAATCCTTAGTATTATTAATCAATCAGGATTCCTTCCTTTCTTTCTCACTCCTCCACACTTCGTTAAATTAGGTGTCTAAATATGTTATTCAATTACATCTACCCGTCTTTATTCCTACTTCCTTTTCCTGCAATCACCTTTCTGGCAGAACCCAGTTTGTAAGAGAGAGAGAGAGAAAATGAACAACCTCATGTGATCTCCAGTACTCTTTTCTTGGTGATGGCTATAGAGTGGAGTTCACATCTCCACCCCACAACGCCCCACCGCCATAGAATATCTCCCCATGATAATACCAATCCCAATATGTCATTATCAGGAGATATTTTCAATACACTGCGGAGATGTGCTGTGAGATATTGTGGGACGGTTCCTTATGAGACGGAGTGGCAGTTGAACGGATAAGCCCTGCGCTGCCGGTGGCAGGTCTGGTGGAAAGTGGAAACTTCCCTTCTAAAGTTGTAACAAGAGAGAAGAGAGTAGAGAGGAGAAAGGAGAGAGTTAAGAGACAAAACGGAACATCTGTACGCTGTCATTCACATGTTATTCTAGCTACCAAGTACTAACTACAATACTAGCAGCTAGCTAGGTTCCTCTCCCTTTCTTAATTATAAATAAATAAAGCAATATCTTTTACCAATAAATAAATAAACCAATATCTGGAGGAACCAATTCAGATCAGTTGCACTATCACATTTTCTCCATTAAGGCTCGGTTTGGAAGGAGTATAAAGGCTGTGTTTGGTTGCAGTACAAACTTGCAAATGATTTTGGTGTAAATTTTGATTTATTCTTGTTTTAGGTTTTACCTTATTCTATTTGAATGCAATACAAATAAAGTAAGATAAGATCAGGAACAAAATGAAGTAAATATAAATATGTAGAGCGCAAAACATTGCATTTTGTATATTTTTGCAATGTACTTATTTGTATTTATGCTCTTTCCAAACTGAGCCTAAGTTTATTGCATATGAAATACTATTTTTCATTCGCTTCTTAAATTTTAGTTACAATTTTGCCACAAAATAATGTTTTCCCACCCCCACCCTTCTTGATTCACTTTTTGTAATGGAACTATCATTTATTTGTTGTTATTAATTTTCAAAAATAAAAAAAAGAAGAAGATTTAAGACCTAGGGAGCACATAAGTTAAAGGTTCATTTGGGAGTAGACCTGCTCATGGGCCAGGTGGCCCGATGGGCCAATTCGGCCCGGCCCAGCCCTCGGACGGGCTTGAACACGCAAATGAGCCCGCATGCTTCACATCGGGCCAAAAAGCCTGACCCGCAATAAATTCGAGCCGGGCTCGGGATTTGCTAAAATAGCCTAGCCTGAGCCCGGCCCGACCCGACCCGACCTATAGACTAAACCCAAAAACCCTAATATCCTAACCCTTTTCATTCATCTCTTTCCACATTTCCTATTAGCCGAACTGCCCAGTGCCGAACCTCTCTTCTCTTTACATCCTCCTCACACTCTCAAGCAGCCGTAGAATCGGTGAACATTCACCGGCGCAACAACTTCGACAGACTAGCGGTGAGTCTTCTCTTTCTCTCTCTCTCTCTCCGTTTTTCTCTCTCTTTCTTTCTCTCTCTCATTCCTCTTCTCACTTCTTCTCTTTCAAATCTCAGACACCGGCAAGGCGGCGAACACAGGCATCGGCGGTGAGTCCTCTCTCTCTCTCTCAGACGCGAACTAACTCTTCTTTTCACTGTCAAAATCGCATCTCACCGCGAATTGAGCACCGGCTGGTGAATCCTCTCTCTCTCTCTCTCTCACGCACACACACACACACACACAGACGCGAACTCAGCACCGGCGGTGAGTTCTTTTTTCTGTTAGCTTGGACTTCGGGCTCAGGCCCGGGCTTTGAGCTTTTTATTAGGGCCGGGCTCGGGCCTAACAAAATCATGCTTATAAAGAGTAAAAGCCTGACCCGGCCCGGCCCATGAACATGTCTATTTGGGAGGGCTAAAGCTTTGATTTAGTGCCCATTTAGGAATGCTTTCATGCATTTTCTTCTAGTGTTGCAAGGTAGGACCCACATGGAAATCATGATAAACCCCATAAAGCTGAAAATACACTTATGTTGAGCTTAAAAAATCAACTTTCCGGTGAAGCTAGTTTTGTCAGCTTCTTTGAAATGGCAATATTTAGCTCTTACCATGTTGGAGGACATGTGTCTTACTTCCTAATTTTTAGATTTAAACCCTAAATCCTAAAATCTAAACTCTAAACCTTTAAACCCTAAAATCTAAAGTGTAAATCCTAAACCCTAAACCCTAAAATGTCTGTGGTAATGCATGTCGTCCAGTGTGTAGGAGCCAAATATTTTCTTTCAGTCAACATAGTTCAATTAATACTAAAGCCCTCTCAAACCGAGTCTTTAGCTGCTTTTTGCAACTTTGGAAAGGCTAATTAAAGAAGCTTCACTAGGAAGCCCTTTTTCTGACTGGAATACTGATGAGGGCAGATTTGGCCCTCCAGTGAAATTGTGACACGTGGCACCTCGTGACAACTAGGCAAACACCCAAGCAGCAACTTACCAAGTTGGTATCCCACCCGGGCACCGGTTTGGCTGGCCTGGCGTGACCTGCACGCGACCTGGCGTGGCCTACGC